TTTTTTTTTTTTTTTTTTTTTTTTTTTTTTTTTTTGAGACAGAGTCTTGCTCTGTCGCCCAGGCTGGAGTGCAGTGGCCGGATCTCAGCTCACTGCAAGCTCCGCCTCCCGGGTTTACGCCATTCTCCTGCCTCAGCCTCCCGAGTAGCGGGGACTACAGGCGCCCGCCACCTCGCCCGGCTAGTTTTTTGTGTTTTTAGTAGAGACGGGGTTTCACTGTGTTAGCCAGGATGGTCTCGATCTCCTGACCTCGTGATCCGCCCGTCTCGGCCTCCCAAAGTGCTGGGATTACAGGCTTGAGCCACCGCGCCCGGCACATATTCATTTTCAAGTTGCTTGGCAGTAGCATATAGGAAGACAATTGATTTTTGCATATTAACGTTGCAGCCAGTGGCCTCACTGAATTGCTTACTCTAATAGTTTAACTGGAGTTTTTAAAAAATTTTCTACATATGCATATTATATCACCTGGAAATAAAAGTGGTTTTCTTCCTTTCTGATCCTTATACCTTGGTTTTGTTTCATTGCGCTGTCTTAATTGTACTGTCTGGGACCTCTGGTACAATGTTGACTAGAACTGGTCATCATCTTTTTCCAGATATCATCTTTTTTTTTTTTGAGATGGAGTCTCACTCTATCGCCTAGGCTGGAGTGCAGTGGCGCAATCTTGGCTCACTGCAAGCTCCGCCTCCCGGGTTCACACCATTCTCCTGCCTCAGCCCCTGAGTAGCTGGGACTACAGGCGCCCACTACCATGCCCGGCTAATTTTTTGTATTTTTAGTAGAGACGGGGTTTCACTGTGTTAGTCAGGATGGTCTCGATCTCCTGACTTTGTGATCCGCCCTCCTCGGCCTCCCAAAGTGCTGGGATAACAGGTGTGAGTCACTACGCCCAGCCCCAGATGTCATCTTTAAATGATCATGTTTGCTGTAGGTTTGTTACTGATGTGTTTTATAAAAGAAAGTTTTCTATTTCTATTTTTCTTAGAGCTTTTATCATGAATGAATGTTGAACTTTGTCAAATGTTTTCCTGCATCTATTGAGATGATCATGTGGTTTTTCTCCTTTATTTTATTAAATGTGGTAAAATACATGAACAGATTTTCATATGCTAAACCTTGCATTCCTATAATAAACCAATTTGGTTGCAGAAAAAAAGAGATAGGAAAACTGAACCCTAGAGAGTCCTTGTTTGCACTATTTGTTTATTCAGGAGATTATGGGGTCTTGTTGCTGACTAGGCTGGTCTCAAATTTCTGGCGTCAAGTGATCCTCCTGCCTCAGCCTCCCAAAGTGCTAGAATTACAGGTGTGAGCCACTGCACCTGGACTTTTTATTTCTTTGGACAAAAATTCCAATCAAGATTTTTATTTCCCAGAGCACACATTGTGGTGATGGAATATTGTGTACCCTGTGGGGGTTGGCAGGATAAAGGGATTAATACATATAAAGCTTATTAGAACAGTACCTAGTACAGGACGGGCGCAGTGGCTCATACCTGTAATCCCAGCACTTTGGGAGGCCAAGGAGGGCGGATCACCTGAGGTCGGGAGTTTGAGACCAGCCTGACCAACATGGTAAAAAACCCCCTTGCTACTAAAAATACAAAAATTAGCCGGGCATGGTGCGCATGCCTGTAATCCCAGCTACTCAGGAGGCTGAAGCAGGAGAATCACTTGAACCCGGAGGCGGAGGTTGTGGTGAACCGAGGTGGTGCCACTGCACTCCAGCCTGGGAAACAAGAGCAAAACTCCGTCTCAAAAACAACAACAACAACAACAAATATATATATATATATTAGCTGGGCATAGTGGCGGGTGCGTGTAGTCCCAGTTACTTCAGAGGCTGACGTAGGAGAATCGCTTGAACCTGCAGGTTGCAGTGAGCCGAGATCGTGTCACTGCAGTCCAGCCAGGCGATGGAGTGAGACTCTGTCTCAAAAAAAAAGTACCTAGTACAGTGTTCGCTTTCATTATCAGTTCCTTCCTTACCTCATAAAGACCCCGTGAACTCCATTTTGCAGGTTAGAAAACAGGCTCACAAAGGTGAAATGAGTGAACTGTGCATTTGGGACTTGAACCCAACATGTCTCTGCACTCATCTTGAGAGTCGGGAGTTTCTTCCTTAGAGTGGGTTCGTGGTCTCACTGACTTCAAGAATGAAGCCACGGACTTTCGCGGTGAGTGATACAGCTCTTTTCTCTTTTTCTCTTTTCTTTTCTTTTTTCTTTTTTTTTTTTTTTTTGAGACGGAGTCTCGCTCTGTCACCCAGGCTGGAGTGCAGTGGCGTGATCTCAGCTCACTGCAAGCTCCGCCTCCCGGGTTCACCATTCTCTTGCCTCAGCCTCCCGAGTAGCTGGGACTACAGGCGTCCGCCACCATGCCTGGCTAATTTTTTATATTTTTTAGTAGAGATGGGGTTTCACCATGTTAGCCACGTTGGTCTCGATCTCCTGACCTCACAATCCACCTGTCTTGCCCTTTCAAAGTGCTGGGATTACAGGCTGTTTCAGCTCATAAAGGTGGTGCGGACCCAAAGAGTGAGCAGCAGCAAGACTTACTCTGAAGAGCCAAAGGACAAAGCTTCCACAGCATGGAAGGGCACTCAAGCAGGTTGCAGCTGCTGGCTGGGGGTGGGGGTGGGGGTGGTGGTGGCCAGGTTTTATTCCCTTATTTGTCCCCACCCACATCCTGCTGATTGGTCCATTTTACAGAGTGCTGATTGGTGCATTTACAATCCTTTAGCCAGACACATCGCACTGATTGGTGCATTTACAATCTTCTAACTAGACAGAAAAGTTCTCCAAGTCCCCACTCAACCCAGGAAGTCCAGCTGGCTTCACCTCTCAATCTCAGGCATAAGCAGATCGCTCTTTCTGCCATCTTTATGTGCTGCCATAATGGTGTGCATGAATGTCCTGGCTGATGCTCTCAAGAGCACCAACAATGCCAAAAGAGAGGCAAACACCAGGTTCCTATAAGGTCGTGCTTCAGGGTCATCATCTGGTTTCTAAATGTGGTGATGAAGCATGGTTACATTGGCGAAGTTGAAATCATTGATGATCACAGAGCTAGGAAAACTGCTGTGAACCTCACAGGCAGGTTAAACAAGTGTGAAGTAATCAGCCCCAGATGTGATGTGCAACTCAAAGATCTAGAAAAATGGCAGAATAATCTGCTCCCATCCTGACAGTTTAGTTTCATTGTACTCACAACCTCAGCTGGCATCACGGACCACAAAGAAGCAAGACAAAAACACACAGGAAGGAAAATCCTGGGATTCTTTTTCTAAGGATGTAATATGCATTTGCAGATAAAATGCCTACAATTTAAAAAAAAAAAAAAAAAAAAAAAAAAAAAAGAACAGATCACCAGATTCGGATGCCAGTTCTCTTCTTCATGCTTTCTTCAGCAGACACAGCAAGTCCGTCACTGTCCTCTTTTCCCTTTGAATCTAGGGACTCCTTCTCAATACTGAGCCAAGGCTGCATTATGACTTTCATGGATGCTAGGGTTTTCTTTCTTTTTTCTTTTTTTAATTTTTATTTTTATTTTGAGACGAAGTCTTGCTCTGTCACCCAGGCTGGAGTGCAGTGGCGCAGTCTTGGCTCACTGCAACCTCCACCTCCTAGGTTCAACTGATTCTCGTGTCTCAGCCTCCTGTGTAGCTGGAATTACAGGAGCATGCCACCATGCCCAGATAATATTATTTTTAGTAGAGACAGGATTTCACCATGTTAGTCAGGCTGGTCTCAACCTCAAGTGATCCGCCCACCTTGGCCTCCCAAAGTGCTGGGGTTACAGGCATGGGCCACTGTGCCCGGCCTCTTTTTCCTTTTTCTTTAGAGCCAGGGTCTTGCTGTGTTGCCCCAGCTAGTGTTGAACTCCTGGCCTCAAACAATGCTCCTGCCTTAGCCTCCTGAGTAGCTGGGATATGGACACATGCCTCCATTAAATATACATAATATACATAAATATTATATATATATTTGACTTTCAATGGCTTTGGTAAAAAGATAACTATAATCTAGGCTAGATTCATTATTATTAGTATACGTTTCCTTTTTTTTTTTTTAATAACCTTAACTTCCCAGTGTATCCTTCTCATTTTAAAGGATATTAAAAACATTTTCGGCCAGGCGCGGTGGATCATGCCTGTAATCCCAGCACTTTGGGAGGCTGAGGTGGGTGGATCACCTGAGGTCAGGAGTTTGAGACCAGCCTGGCCAATATGGTGAAGCCCCGTCTCTACTAAAAATACAAAAATTAGCTGGGCATGGTGGTGGCTGCCTGTAATCTCAGCTACTTGGGAGGCTGAGGCAAGAGAATTTCTTGAACCCAGGAGGCAGAGGTTGCAGTGAGCCGAGATTGCACCCCTGCACTCCAACCTGGGCGAGTGAGGCTCTATCTCAAAAAAAAAAAAAAAAAAAAAGCAGCATAGATTGGCAGACATGGAGAATGTTCGTGGTTATGGTATTCAATAACAAGAAAAAAACAACAAAAGCAGTAATATAGTAATATCAATTGGGAGTTGTGATGCTGTGGGCTGCAAGTCACAGAAACCCCAATTTAAACTGGCTTAAACAATAAAGGGAGCTGGTTGTGGTGGCTTGTGTCTGTAAACCCAGCTACTCAAGAGGCTGAGGCAGGAGGATAACTTGAGGCCAAGAGTTCCAAACTACCCTGGACATCATAGTGAGAACCCATCTCTAAAAAAACATATTTAAAATCTAGCCAGGTCTGGCAGTGCCTGTAGTACCAGCTACCCTAGGTGGGAGGATTGCTTGAGCCCAGGAGTTCGAGACTACAGTGAGCTATGATGATGCCACTGCACTCCAACCTGGGAGACAGAGTGAGACCCCATCTCCTATAAAAAATAAAAAATAATGCAGTGAGTCTAGATCGCATGACTGCTCTCTAGCCTGGGCAATGTAAGACTCTGTGTCAAAAAATAATAAAAATAAAGGGGCCGGGCCTGGTGGCTCATCCCTGTAATCTCAGCATTTTGGGAGGCCGAGACAGGTGGATCATTTGAGGTCAGGAGTTGGAGACCAGCCTGGCCATCATGGTGAAACCCCCTCTCTACTAAAAATACAAAAACTAGCTGGGCATGCTGGTGCACACCTGTAATCCCAACTACTCAGGAGGCTGAGGAAGAGATTGCTTGAGCCCGGGAGGTGGAAGTTTCATTGAGCCAATATTACGCCATTGCACTCCAGCCTGGGTGCCAGAGCGAGACTCAGTCTCTAAATAAATAAATAAATAAATGGCATCTGTTGGCTCAAATAATTTTAAAAGTCCAGGCCAGGTGTGGTGACTCACGCCTGTAATCCCAGCACTTTGGGAGGCTGAGGCGGGCAGATCACCTAAGGTCAGGAGGTCCAAACCAGCCTGGCCAACATGGCGAAACCCCGTCTCTACTAAAAATACAAAAATTAGCCAGGCGCAGTGGTGGGTGCCTGTAATCCCAGCTACTCAGGAGGCTGAGGCAGGAGAATTGCTTGAATCCGGGTGGCAGAGGTTGCAGTGAGCCGAGATTGCGCCATTGCACTCCAGCCTGGGCGACAGAGTGAGACTCTGTCTCAAAAAAAAAAAGAAACAAAAAAGTCCAATGGCAGATAGGGCTTCAGGTGAGGTTTGATCCAGTTAATGATCCACCGAAACCTGGTGTCTCTCCATTCTGCTTTCCATAATGTCAGTTTATCAGTGGGCCAATTTTCTGCATGGTGTCAAGATGGCTGCCAGCAGTAACTAGAGCCATTGAGCTCTTCATTTACATCTAATGGAAGGGAGATCATCTTTTTTGGCAACCTCCTCAGGAGAGAAAATAAGCTTCCTTTCCCAAAAGCCCTGAGCAAAAATTTCCTTATATCTCACTAGTCCATTCATGATCTAATCATGTGCCTGGGGAAATGGGAATTGCTCACTGGCTTAACCAACTGGGACCCATTCCTGAAGCTGTGGGTGGGGTCCACCATATTCCAGTTCCTGTTAAGAAGGAGATGGGCTGCAACCTTAACGGGATCCTAACCCTAACCCTAACCCTACTGTGTTGCTGGACATTGTAGTGGCAACACAGTAACCAACCAATTTTATAAAGCATGTATAGGCCCAGTCTTGGTGGCTCACACCTGTAATCCCAGCACTTGGGAGGCTAGGGCAGGCGGATCACTTGAGGCCAGGAATTCGAGACCAACCTGGCCAACATGGCAAAACCCTGTCTCTACTAAAAATACAAAAATTAGCTGGGCATGGCAGTGCACGTATGTAATCCCAGCTATTCGGGAGGCTGAGGCAGGAGAATTGCTTGGACACGGGAGGTGGAGGTTTCAGTGAGCCGAGATCATGCCACTGTACTCCAGTCTGGACAACAGAGTGAAACTCCATCTCAAAAAATAAATAAGTATACATATAAAATATATAACATGTATATGTAAATATACATATATAAATATATATGCATATTATATACAACATGTATATATGAATATATATGCCTAGACACCCCCACCAAAAAATGTCTATAAGGAAACAGTCCAAAAAGTCAGAACAATTATTTCCTGGTGGATGAAATTATAGGTAAATGTTTTGCTTCTGTGTTTTATATAATAGGCATGAATTACCTAAACACAAACAGTAAACTTTGTTTACAAAAATAATGGAACATATCCCCCTGTTTCCTTCTACTCCAACCCCTACCCCAGTAAGGGCCTCAGAGTAACTGAAGCCAGACGCCCCATGGAGTCGTCGTTTTTTCTGCTGACAGAGCCAAACCCCAGTACCCCATGGGCCCTGGTTGTTTGCTGGACAGATGCCACCAAACCACTCTCACTGCATTAGCCCGGATGCTGTGGCCCCTAAAGGCCACAGCTTGGGCTGCTTAGGATTGACCAACCAGCCAGTGGAACCAGTGGTGGAGACTGACCATAATAGTACCAGGAACATTGTGGCATCAGCAGCATGGGAAGCCCAAGATCTCCCAAGACAGATCTCTGCCCGTAATCCATGCCTCTTATGTGGCAGCATGTAATTTAGGCCAGTAGTCTTCCTCGGGTGGGCTGAGGTTGGGGATTAGTCTGTGACAGGGTCAGGCTCAGACAGGGTCTAGGTCAGCCCTTAGTTGACTAATCTGTAGCCTAGGGCTAGATTCAGGGCTCAGTCCATGATTGGGCTTAGTCTTCAGTCTGTGACCAGGAGCCAGGCTCAGTCTGTGACCAGGGTCATGGCTCAGTCAATGACTAAGTTCAGGGCTCAGTCTGTGACCAGATTCAGGGCACAGTCTTCCATTAGGGCTCAGTGTGTGACCAGAATTGCATGATCCAGGGTCAGAATTCAGTCTGTGGTCAGAGTTCAGTCAATGATTAGACTCAGGACTCAGTCTTTGACCAAGATTAGGCCTCAGTCTTCTACCAGAGTCAGGTTTAAAAGGTTAGTCTGACTCTTCTTACAGAGTCAGTCTAAAAGGTTAGTCTGGGCTGAGGCTATAATTCAGTCTGTGACTAAGGCTCAGTCTTAGAGTAGGATAAGGGCTTGATCTGGGCCCAGAACCAAGGTCTCAAGTTGGGATCAACCTAATTCAGGCTTAGATCAGTGGGTGATTAGAGTCGGGGTTCATTCTAAGGTGATGTCAGAGCTCAGTCAAGAGCTGGACTAGTGGCTCAGTCAACAACAGGAGTAGGGTTCAAGAGGGAGGATCAGGACCATGACCAGGGCTTTATTTGGCTCTATGCTGTGTTCTGAGCTCCAATAAAGAAGTTTCCAGAGGCATGGGAGCCCAGAGCAGGTCAGTCTGCAAGAAATGAGAGCCCCGAGGCAAGCTTAGCAGGGTCTGGTGGCTACAGGAACCTTTCTCTGGCCTGCTGAGGCCGGGTGTCCTAGAGCCTCTAACCTACATGGCTCTGCTGCTTGAGATCCCCTCGCACCAGAATAAAAATAGCCACTCACTTCAGAGCAGCTGACAGCGGGTGCTGGGCTGCCTGGGAGGAGGGGGAGCCAAAGAGAAGGAGGAGGGAGGCCTGAGCTCAGCCCCAGCTGTGTGACCTTGGGAAAGTCACTCCTCCTCCTCCAGCCCATTTCCTGAGTGGCAGAATGGGGAGTGAGGATGATATCTGCCTCAGAGGGTGAGAATGAAGTGCTGGGGACATAACATGTGACACTTGTTACCAACAAGAAACCCTGGAGTGAAGTCTTGGGAGAAAAAAATGCTCTTTTGTGCCCTGTATACTTACTTCTCAGGGAAGCTCTCCCTGATAACCCCCTCTTTCACCTCCCCACAATATCCTGTATCACCCTCTACACCTTCGCAGATGGTAGCCACAGCACGACCTCCCTCCTGGTGGGCCTGGGTCAGGGTGACCAGGGAGAGAAAGGAAGGAGGACAGACCCTCAGTACCATTGCCATCCTTGGGTGCCCCTGGAAAGTGAACTGAGGAAGAGGAGGAGGAAAAAGACAGGAAAAAGACTTCTCTCCCTTCCCTGCTCATGGTATGTTTACTCCAAGCCAAAGGGCCGGAGGGCACATGTCCAAATTTCTCATCGTTTCACAGCCAGAACCTTCCTTCCCCATCCATGCTTTGTACCTGCTGTTCTCTCTTCTTTCCAGCCAGGGCGTTTCTCTTCTTCAATTTGGCATCACAGACTCTCCTTCAAAGAAGGGGTTCAACAGTCAGCTCCTCTGTTGGGGAGAATTATCCACTGCCTCTCTAGGAGCTCCATGCTCTGTCCTCTCTCTACTCGCTGTGTAATCCCTGGGCCTCGGTTTCTTCCTCTGTCCAATGGGGACCTCACTACCAACCTCACAGGGTTACTATGGAGAGTAACTGGAATACTCTGTCTATCACTAGCATCCTCCCTTCCTATCCCTGACCCACGCAGCCTGAAGGACAGCACTGAGTTTCCAGGAATGGGCTGGATGAGCCCTGGCCCCTGCCTCAGTACACCCACCCTCCTCCCCCACCAAGAGTGAGGGCAAGGAGGGAGCCAGAAAGGGCTTCCGGAGACAGCCGTCTCCAGGGGGGCGGTTCTCCCTGACAGCGGCCCCCAGCCTGCCGCCCTGAGCCCCAGAGCCTGTTATCAACCTCCTTAGTCATCACACCAGGAGCTCAAATATAGCTCCAACTCACTCCCTTTTCAGCTGGGGTCCGCCCCCCACCCCCTTCTCCTGACAAGGCCAGGCTTAGGTCTCAGAGCCCCTTCCTTGTCCTCCCAGGAGAGTAACCACTCTCAGCCTCAGTTTCAGCATCCACCACACGGGCAGGCTGAAGTCGATGGTGATGATGATGATGATGATAAATACAGAGCAGCGACCTTTATGGACAGCTTGCTGTGCCAGGCTCTATGCTAAACATTTCATATATATTATCCTGTTGAATCTTCACCAGCACTCTTAGGAGGTGTCTGCTGTTTTAATCTCCCTTACACAAATTGGGAATCAGAGTGACCTCCTCAAGTAAGTCAGTGGTGGGGCCAGAAACAAAGTGCCCTGCAAGGTCTGAGCTCAGGGAGCGGGTGGTGGGAAATCCTGAGTTGCCCTCCTGAGGCAGAGGAGCCCTCTGCAGACACATTTGCATGACATTTGCCTGGCTTCCAAAGGGCACCGATGCCCCTGTCCCAGCCCTAGATGGCTGAGCCCTAGCACTGGTCCCAGAGGCCTGGATCTGCCCATCATTCCCTCCAGGATTACATCAGAAGCTGGGTAGTCTTGGGGCCTCCCATTTTCTTTTTCTTTTCTTTTTTCTTTCTTTTTTTTTTTTTTTTTTTTTTTTTTTTTTTTTTTTTTGAGACAGGCCTCACTCTGTCGCCCAGGCTGGAATGCAGTGGTGCGATCTCGGCTCATTGCAACCTCCACCTCCCAGGTTCAAATAATTCTCCTGTCTCAGCCTCCCAAGTAGCTGGGACTACAGGCATACACCACCACACCCAGCTCATTTTTGTATTTTTAGTGGAGATGGGGTTTCGCCATGTTGACCAGGCTGGTCTCGAACTCCTGACCTCAGGTAGTCTGCCCACTTCAGCCTCCGAAAGTGCTGGGATTACCGGTTTGAGCCACCGGGCCTGGCTCAGGGGCTCCCATTTTCTTATTTGTAAAATAGGAGTCAGAGGATGAGACAGGATGAGTTCAAATCTTCCTTTTTCTGGTAACCTTAGCATCACCACCAGGTCTACTCTCACATCCTCCCTGACTGCCACCTCCAACTCCAACACTATGTCTTTCATTAATACAACACCATTATCAGTATTGGTACCATCATCACCTCTACCTTTGCCATCACCATCACCTCCACCACCTTCACCACCACCACTGCCAGCCCCCTACTTCCATCATCATAATTACATACATCGTCACATCCACCACGACAATCGCCTTCCCTGTCACCACTGTCACTATTTCCACCGTCACTGTCCAAAGACCTTTCTACCCCAACACCCTAATATGGCCTGAGTCTCTGCCCCTGCAAATTCCAGCAGAGATGCTGGCCTGAAAATACAAACTAGACCTACAGACAGTCAAGCAGAGGTAGGAAGTGCCTTCAGGAGAGGAAAGAGAGGCATCTGCCTTCGTGTAGGAGACTGCACAGGCCCATGCAGATGCTCCATGTTGGTTAACAAACACTCCCGTGGGCCTGTTGGGGACTATGCCTTGGGCTGGGTCCTGGCTGTAGCAGTTCTCAGGCCTGTTTTTAACTCTCTGGTCAGTCTCTTACCCCACTGCGGGGCCCTTCTCCACCCAAGTTCCCTTCCCCCAGATACCCCAAAGGGCTGGTGCTAGTCTTAGGGTCACTAAGTTTTCTCACTGAAACTCAGGAGACTTTCTCAGTTCACAGGTGACCTTGAGCAAGTTCCCCTCCCAAACCACACCCAGTGAATACTGGAGAGAGGAAAACTGACAGAACCCGAGCTGGGTCAGGCCTGGCTGTGGGGACATCTGAGGGCAGCTAGGTGTCTGCAGAAGGGGAGGAGCTGGTGCTGAGGCCTGAGGTGGGAAAGGGCTGCAGTGGCTGGAGCCTGAGTGTCTGGTTCTGGGTTGGGAAGGCTAGAGCCTGGGACTGGCAGTAGGAGTGGTGGGGGGTGGTGGCACTAAGACCTGAAAATGGGGCAAGGGTGGGGGCCGGGGCAAGCTCTGAGCTGGCAGGGAGTCAGGAAAGTCACAGATCAGGGCAAGAACTCAATTGTCTCTGAGGCCCTGGAGAGGATGCTGACCTCTGAACCACCTGTCCTACCTTAACGCAGGTGTGTTAATGCCCCTCCCTGGAGCAAAGGGCTGGCGAGGCCTACAGCAGAAAGGTGGGGGTAGACAGACAGCCTCCTTCATGCTGCCAGTTGGGACCTGGGCCAGGCAGATGGGTACACTCCCCCCTCCCCACCCCATGGCTGTTGCAGCCTCAGCAACCAGTTTGAAGGATTTCCAGGGGGTAGCCACCTTGCTCTGGCCTCTTCCAGGCTGGAAGTGGGAGCCTGTGCCTTTAAATTCTCAGCAGGTTGAAATGGCTGATGACATCACTGGTTCCCGGGAGCGGTAGAGCTGGAGCCGGAGCCCGGAGCCCGAGGGAGCCCAGGCTGCTGGGGGCTGCAGACATGGAGGGCCAGAGCAGCAGGGGCAGCAGGAGGCCAGGGACCCGGGCAGGCCTGGGTCCCCTGCCCATGCCCCAGGGTGTTGTCCAAACTGGGGCACCCTCCAAGGTAAGACCCCTGAGACCCAGTCCCCCCCACTTTCCTGATCCCTGGTTCCACACCCCCCCCAGCATACACTGCAGGCACCCTGGTGCTGACTGAGGGGCTGATACTTTCCTGTGCTCGGTGAGCAGGGGCTGGGTGAAGAGAGCACCCTAGGGGCTGAGGGGCAGTGACAGGATGCCCGGAGACAGATGAAGTTAGCCATCGCCAGAAGCCCTTGGGAGAGTCCTGGACCGGGTATCAGAGGACCCAGCTGAGCTCCAGCTTTGCTGTGTGACCTTGGGCAAGTTGCTTTTCCTCTCTGAGCCGATGCAAAATGAGGGGGCTTGTCACTGAAGACTGAAACTGTGACATCTGGGATGGCTAAGTTGTTAGTGCTGGAGGCGGTGTGATAGTTGGGGGGAAGCCGGCACACAGTGTGACACTTGGAGCCAAGGAGGGTGCCTAAAATGCAGCCTCAAAGAGCTGAGTTTGAGAAGGGAGGCGGAGATGGAGTTTTAGGTACTCTGAACTGAGGAGGATACGGGACGGAGACAGAACTGCGTCTCCAGAGGCAGGGCCTCCCTGGGCCCTGTTACCCTACCCAGGGCCACCCTGGGGCAAGTATGGACCTTCTTCTGCCCTCCTTGGCAAAGGACACTTTATCCTGTCTTCTGGAAACAGGGGACATAGAGAGAATAGATGGAGAAGGAGGAGAGGTCCCTATGGGACTCCGTGACTCCCCGCCCCTCCCACCTGCCGGACATAAAACGGATACCTGCTTGCCTGTCCTTTCAGGTCAGGGAGAAAGTGGAGGATGTAAGAGGGCACAACCTGGGCACAGAGAGATGTGACACCAGGATCAACTTAGAATCCTGGACTTGCTCTGAATGCTAGATTCACACTTGGTGAAGATGGACTCTTCCACGGGGCTGGATGGAATTCTAGCAAATGTTGGGTTCATAAATGCAGACAATGTGAGACAAAAATTCCCCAGAATATAATGTGACCAGGGTCCCTAGACCCCATCCTTTCATTTTACAACAGAGAAACTGAGGACCTGGGCAGAGAGGTACTTGCATAAGGTCACCCAGAGCTGGGCTTTGAATCTACACAGCCAGTCTCAGCTCCCAGCTCTTGCTCCTGAGTGGAGCTCTGGGAATGAGTAAGAGAACAGAGAGGGCTGTAACCAAGGGATTTGGATGTTTAGGGGCTGGTGGAGAACTGAGGGTTTCTGGGCATCATGAAGGAAGGGGGAGGTATTTAACAGGCTGCACCCATAGGTCTATATCTTGGCAATAGAAAAAGAAAAGAAACGAAACAGGCTGCCCCCAGTGTGCCCAGACCTGGAATGTCAGGTCCGTAGCCGTGGCTGGGGGAGCTTCAGGGACTGCAGTGGGAGGGTTGCCCAGGAAAGCTGCCCAGAATGGGCAGGATGTGGGTACCAGCCAGGAAGGCAAGGCAAGTCATCAGGTTCAGGTTCACACTCTGCCTCATTTGAGTCAGGGTCTTAGTTTCCCCGTCTGTGAAAGAGGTTTCAGACTTAAAGGAGGGGTTAGGGTTTTGTGTCCTATCTCCTCCAAGATAGAAGTTGACCTGCAGCAGAATAGATTGAGGTGAGATAGTAGGAATAACTTCCTTGGAAAGATGTGCCTTTCTTAGTTAGATGAAATCTGCCAGGGTCTATATGGAAGTTGGGGCCCAATGCCCTTGTTAGGGTCACTCTGAATCTTTGACTTGTCCTCCACAAGGTGGACTCAAGTTTTCAGCTCCCAGCAAAGAAGAACGCAGCCCTAGGACCCTCGGAACCAAGGTTGGCTCTGGCACCTGTAGGGCCACGGGCAGCTATGTCAGCTTCCTCAGAAGGACCGGGGCTGGCTCTGGCATCTCCCCGACCAATCCTGGCTCCACTGTGTACCCCTGGAGGGCAGAAAACAGCTCCTGCCCACCCAACATCTGTGGGCCAGCTGGTGATGTCTGCCTCAGCTGGACCAAAGCCTCCCCCAGCGACCACAGGCTCAGTTCTGGCTCCGACGTCCCTGGGGCAGCTGGTGATGTCTGCCTCAGCGGGGCCAAGATCTCCCCCAGCCACCCTGGGGCCCAGTCTGGCCCCAACCTCCAGAGACCAGAAGCAGGAGCCACCTGCCTCCGTGGGACCCAAGCCAACACTGGCAGCCTCTGGCCTGAGCCTGGCCCTGGCTTCTGAGGAGCAGCCCCCAGAACTCCCCTCTACCCCTTCCCCAGTGCCCAGTCCAGTTCTGTCTCCATCTCAGGAACAGGCCCTGGCTCCAGCATCCACGGCATCAGGCCCAGCCTCTGTGGGACAGACACCAGCTAGAAAGAGGGATGCCCCAGCCCCTAGACCTCTCCCTGCTTCTGAGGGGCATCTCCAGCCTCCAGCTCAGACATCTGGTCCTACAGGCTCCCCACCCTCCATCCAAACCTCCCCAGACCCTCGGCTCTCCCCCTCCTTCCGAGCCCGGCCTGAGGCCCTCCACAGCAGCCCTGAGGATCCTGTTTTGCCACGGCCACCCCAGACCTTGCCCTTGGATGCGGGCCAGGGTCCTCCAGAGCCTGGCAACCGCTCACCTGGACTTCTGTCCCCCACCTTCCGGCCTGGGGCCCCCTCAGGCCAGACTGTGCCCCCACCTCTGCCCAAGCCACCCCGATCACCCAGCCGTTCCCCAAGCCGCTCCCCCAACCGCTCTCCCTGTGTTCCCCCAGCCCCTGACATGACCCTCCCAAGGCTTGGCACCCAGAGTACAGGGCCTGGCAGGTGCCTGAGCCCCAACCTTCAGGCCCAAGAAGCCCCAGCCCCAGTCACCACCTCCTCTTCTACATCCGCCCTGTCATCCTCCCCTTGGTCAGCTCAGCCCACCTGCAGGAGCGACCCCGGCTTCCGGTGAGAGCCCTCCCCCAAGAAAGGTGGCTGGGCTTAGCTCTGAGGTTGGCCATTCTTCCAAGGGGGATGGCCTGCTCTACTTCAGCTTCCCTCTCTGAGGAAGAGTCTTTGGGGAGGGGCTTGCTGGGCCACTCTGAAACTCTCAGAAGACAGCATCCCCTCCTAAGGAACTTGCCACCTCTCAGTTGACCTCCCTAGGGAGAATGTGGCAGGGGGACAGGATGCGGGGTCTCCTGTGGGTCCTTCTTAGGGCTTTGGCCCACACCTGCCTCCATTTAGTTCCCCAGGGAGTCCTGTGAAAGGAAGCTTGAGGGTGAGGGAGTGGTGCCAGGACTACACCCTCATATGCCCCTGCCCGCAGGATCACTGTGGTCACGTGGAACGTGGGTACTGCCATGCCCCCAGACGATGTCACATCCCTCCTCCACCTGGGCGGTGGCGACGACAGCGGTGGCGCAGACATGATCGCCATAGGGTGAGGTGGCAGGGCATGCGGACCCCCTCCTGAGCCGCTCGGGCCTTCCGGGCTCTCCACCCATGGCAGGGGCTTCCAGGACACCTCTCTAATCCCATGGCCACCCCGCCCCCATCCCTCCAGGTTGCAGGAAGTGAACTCCATGCTCAACAAGCGACTCAAGGACGCCCTCTTCACGGACCAGTGGAGTGAGCTGTTCATGGATGCGCTGGCGCCCTTCAACTTCGTGCTGGTAACGCACCCCTCACCCCCTGGACGGCAGAGACCCTGCTGAATTCCTGGCTCCAGCTGTACCCTGGCTCCCTGTGGGGCCCGCTGGGCCGCTGTGGCCGGGGCCGTGACACGGGTGGGTGGAGGAGCAGACCTGAAGGTGGGCGCGAGGGCGGGGCAGTCGTGTTCTGTCCCCCAGCCGCGTGGCCTCCCACTGCAGGTGAGTTCGGTGAGGATGCAGGGTGTCATCCTGCTGCTGTTCGCCAAGTACTACCACCTGCCTTTCCTGCGAGACGTGCAGACCGACTGCACGCGCACTGGCCTGGGCGGCTACTGGGTGAGCCTGCGAGCTGTCCCAGAAGGGGATGGGACATGAAGGGGGCCTTAGATTAGTCCCCTGGCCCCATACACCAGAAAAGTCCCCTTCCCATCCTCCACCCTTTACCCTGCGGCCCACCCCTCCCCATGAACCGCCCAATACCTCATCCTATTCCTCTGGTATCCCAGTGTTGTCCCTCATCCTTCATTTCCCTAGGACCCACCCACCTTCCACCCACATCTCCTCTCTGACCCCCCCCTCCCGCTCCCAGTGCCTCACCTCCTGGCCTAAGCCCCGCCCATGAGCCACCCGACCCTGCCTCCCTAGGGTAACAAGGGTGGCGTGAGCGTGCGCCTGGCAGCCTTCGGGCACATGCTCTGCTTCCTGAACTGCCACTTGCCCGCACATATGGACAAGGCGGAGCAGCGCAAGGACAACTTCCAGACCATCCTCAGTCTCCAGCAGTTCCAAGGGCCGGGCGCACAGGGCATCCTGGATCATGAGTATGGGCTGGGGTGGGGCCAAATGGAGCTTGGGTGGGGCTAGTGATGGGGGTTTTTGTACCAGCTTAGGTGGCGCTTATGGAGAGAGGCGGGGCCTATGGGGGTGAGTGCCCACCCAGACTACTTGTAGGAACATGAAAGCAGAGAACAGTTGGCTGGGGAGGGGCGGAGCCTATGGGGTGGAGCTTTGCTGAGGGGCAGGGCCTTGCTGAAGGTCAGAACCTAATTTCCTGTAGACGGGTCCCCCTGATCTTCCTCTGCTCTTTGGCAGGCTGGAGGCTCTGGCACTAATCACCCACTCACTACATCCCCTCGGGTTGGATGGGGCCTGGAAAGATCTGGGCTGAGCCTTTATCCCCCATGGACCCGTTGACACCCCCCACTGCCCCCCACTTCTCCCCCATCCTCCGCCCCAAACAGCCTCGTATTCTGGTTCGGGGACCTGAACTTCCGCATTGAGAGCTACGACCTGCACTTTGTCAAGTTTGCCATCGACAGTGACCAGCTCCATCAGCTCTGGGAGAAGGACCAGGTGGGATCCTTGTCCCCAGAAGCACACAGAGCTAAGCCCCGCCCATGAGCCACCCGACCCTGCCTCCCTAGGGTAACAAGGGTGGCGTGAGCGTGCGCCTGGCAGCCTTCGGGTTGCCAGAGCATGTCCCAGGACATGCCTGTACCTTAGGCTATGGTCCCTGTCCTCACCTACCCCACCCCTCCTCGGCACAGCAGAGCCCAAGCTGTTGTCCAATCTGCTCTCCTGGACCCCCCACAGCTCAACATGGCCAAGAACACCTGGCCCATTCTGAAGGGCTTTCAAGAGGGGCCCCTCAACTTCGCTCCCACCTTCAAGTTTGATGTGGGTACCAACAAATACGACACCAGGTGAGCTCAGTCCGAGGAGGGATGGGGAAGTGAGCTGAGGTCTTCTTGGAAAGGGAGACTTTGGGAAGAGGGGCAGGAGGCAAGGTGGAGGGTTGTGCCTTGATCCCCAGCCCCTGAAACTTGGGGTACCCTTGCTCACTGCAGTGCCAAGAAACGGAAGCCAGCTTGGACAGACCGTATCCTGTGGAAGGTCAAGGCTCCAGGTGGGGGTCCCAGCCCCTCAGGACGGAAGAGCCACCGACTCCAGGTGACACAGCACAGCTACCGCAGCCACATGGAATACACAGTCAGTGACCATAAGCCTGTGGCTGCCCAGTTCCTCCTGCAGGTGAGTTCTGGCCTCATCTTCCCTGCATAATATCCCCAGACCCAACTTGGCACACCACTGCCCCTCACCATTACCCTTTGTATAACCCCTTGTACCTGCCCTCAGCAGCATCCATTTGTTGTAACAGAGTGGGAATGGGGTTGCGATCTCCATTTTCAGATGAGGAAGCTGAGGCTCAGACACATGGCATCACCTGCCCAGGGTCACACAGCTAGTAAGAGGAACAGTTAGGATTTGAATCCAAGTGAGTCTGGTTTCAGAGTCCATGCCTTTTCTTTTCTTTATTTTTTTTTTTTGAGACAGAGTCTCACTCTGTCACCCAGGCTGGAGTACAGCGGCGCAATCTTGGCTCACTGCAAGCTCCACCTCCCGGGTTCAAGTGATTCTCCTGCCTCAGCCTACCGAGTAGCTGGGATTACATCACCCGCCACCACGCCCAGCCAATTTTTGTATTTTTAGTAGAGACAGGGTTTCGCCATGTTGGCCAGGCTGGTCTTGAACTCCTGATCTCGTGATCCACCCACCTCGGCCTCCCAAAGTGCTGGGATTACAGGCATGAGCTACCATGCCCAGGCAACTTTTTTTATTTTATTTTTTATTTTTTTGAGATGGAGTCTTGCTCAGCCACCCCAGGTTGGAGTGCAGTGGCACAATCTCGGCACACTGCAACCACCATCTCCTGGGTCTAAGCGATTCTCCCGTCTCAGCCTCCCAAGTAGCTGGGATTACAGGCACCTGCCATCATGCCCAGCTGATTTTTGTATTGTAGTAGAGACAAAGTTTCACCAAATTGGCCAGGCTGGTCTTGAACTCCTGACCTCAGGTGATCCACCTCAGCCTCCCAAAGTGTTATGATTACAGACATGAGCCACTGTGCCCGGCGCCCTATTTTTTTTTTTTTTTTTTAATGGAGTCTCACTCTGTCGCCCAGGCTGGAGTACAGTGGTGTGGTCTTGACTCACTGCAACCTCAACCTCCTGGGTTCAAGTGATTCTCCTGCCTCAGCCTCCTGAGTAACTGGGATTACAGGTGCCTGCCACCACGCCTGGCTAATTTTTGTATTTAGTAAAGATGGGTTTTTGCCATGTTGGCCAGGCTGGTCTCGAACTCCTGACCTCAGGTGATCCGCCCACCTTGGCTCCCAAAGAACTGAGATTACAAGGTGCGAGCCACCACACCCAGCCTTAGAGCCCATGCCTTTTCTACTAATCTCTAGCTCCTGTCTTCTGAGAAAGGTTTAGAGCAATTTATCTTAAAATTCACTTATAGGCTGGCACAGTGGCTCACACCTGTAATCTCAACACTTTGGGTGGCTGAGGTGGAAGGATCGATTGAGCTCAGGAGTTCAAGACTGGCCTGGGCAAGACAGTGAGACATCTCTAAAAAAAAAATCAAAAAAAGGCCAGGCATGGTGGCTCACGCCTGTAATCCCAGCACTTTGGAAGGCCGATGTGAGCTGATCACACGAGGCCAGGAGTTTGCGAACAGCCTGGACAACATGGTGAAACCCATCTCTACTAAAAATACAAAAATTAGCCGGGCGTGGTGGTGCACGCCTGTAATCCCGGTTGCTTGGGAGGCTGAGGCACAAGAATCACTTGAACCTGGGAAGCAGAGGTTGCAGTGAGCCAGTATCGTGCCAGTGCAATCCAACCTGGGTGACATGAGCAAGACTGTGTCTCAGGGAAAAAATAAAAATAAAAACAAAATTTAGCTAGGTGGTGCACACCTGTATTCCCAGCTATTTATGAGGCTGAGGTGGGAAGATCACTGGAGCTTGGAATATCTAGGCTGCTGTGAGCTGTGATCATACCACTACACTTCAACCTAGGCAAAATTAGCCAGGCACGGTGGCAGGCACCTGTTGTCCCAGCTACTCAGGAGGCTGAGGCAGGAGAATGGCGTGAACCCGGGAGGCGGAGCTTGCAGTGAGCTGAGATCCGGCCACTGCACTCCAGCCTGGGCGACAGAGCGAGACTCCGTCTCAAAAAAAAAAAAAAAAAATCACATATACATCATAGTTTTCACTACTAGTGTCTTAAAAATAACAAATAAGATATAAAAATTCACATATATAATAAGACCAGCAAAATCAAACTCCACATAACATTCATTCATATTCATTCATTCATTATTTACTGAGTACTTACTGTCTTACCATATGCCAAGCATTATGAGAGTGTGTAGTGATGGGGAGGGAGAGCAAAGATATAAAAAATACAAAGCTAAACTCTAAGTAGTTACTATAATTTAGTATTGTATTTAGGATTGAGGTTCCTGGTTGCTGACATCAAAAGGGGAAATTCTAGAATCTCAGAACCAGACCTGTGAGACCATGTAGTCCAACTCTTTTTTTCTCTGGTGGGATCTGAGGCTCCTCGTGGGGTAGGCACATGCCCCAAACCATATATAGGCTCTGCAGTGGCAGGGCAGGGTAGATCCCATCTTTTCAGCCCTGAAACCCGACTCTGGGCTCTTCGAGTCTCTTGATCTGATAAGAGGGAGCCCGGTAGGCCAGAAAATGTTTTTCCTGGTAACTTTGTCACATGGCCAGTCAGTGGGACATTGGCCAATATCTTTAGCTGGGAATGGAAATATCCCCACGCTTGGCCTGCCATGACCTCTGGCAAAAGGGTCGGGCATGAAGATTTAACCCACAATCAGGGACCTCGCCTGGAAAATCACTTCTTTTGAACCCCACCATGTCCTTCCCGCCTCCTCCAGGACTGTGTCCCTTTAAAAACATTTCCCAGCCAGGTGCAGTGGCTCACGCCTGTAATCCCAGCACTTTGGGAGGCTAAGGCAGATGGATCACTAGGTCAGGAGTTCCAGACCGGCCTGGCCAACATAGTGAAACCCTGTCTCTACTAAAAATACAAAAAAATTAGCTGGGCATGGTGGCGGACACCTATAGTCCCAGTTACTTGGGAGGCTGAGGCAGGAAAAGGGCGAGAACCCGGGAGGTAGAGGTTGCAGTGAACTGAGACCGTGCCACTGCACTCCAGCTGGGGTGACAAAGCAAGACTCCATCTCAAAAAAAAAAAAAAAAAATTACCATTGAGTGAGTACCTACTACATGCCAGGCCCATGTCGTGTACTTTACATATGTCATCCCTTTGAATGCCTCAGTAGGCCCTGAGATGTCCCAGTTCTCCTCTCTGTTTTACTGATGAGGGAGACTGAGGCTCAGAGAACTTAAATCTTTTACCCAAGGCAATGCAGTCAGAATAGGGCTCAGTAGGGGTTTTGACGCTGCAAGTCCTTGGAGGGCTTTTTCAAAGGTCTACCCTTGCCTGCCCCTGCTGTTAGGAACACAGGAACAGGGAAAGAATGTGCCAGTTACTTCTGGAACAACTTGGCTCAGAAGCTGAGGGAGGGAAACCTGAAACTAGGTAAACAGGGGATCAGACAAAGATCTGGAATTGGCACCAACTGAGCCCTTCCCTGAGGGACAGAAGTGGGGCCAATATCCTGGCAGCCTGCCACCTCAGCAGCTCCACCCATTCAGGTGGTACCCCTGGTGGGTCTGGGTTGACCTTGGGGAAAGGATACTCATGGTTATAACTTTCCTTCATGGACTGACGACAAGGTAATAGTAGCCACTTAGTACTTAGACTCAGTTGGAGAAACTGAACCTTGGGATGGTTAGAGCCTGCCCTGAGGTCACATAGCGAGTTAGTGGTAGAGCCTGGAAGTGGACTGAGGTTTCCGTCCTCCCACTCAGAGCTCTTCTTGCCTGCTCAGGAATATTCAGCTTACCCCAAATACCTAGTGCATCATAGGATTTTACTGGTCTTCCTTGCTAGCATAGAGATAAATCATTTATTGAACACTTACTGGTATACTGGGAAATTTATGGGATGCTTTGCAAATGGTATCTCACTGAATCTGCTGAACAACTCCAAGAGTAAAGTAAGAGTCTCTGAGTTTGGCCGGGCACGGTGGCTCATGCCTATAATCCCAGCACTTTGGGAGGCTGAGGTGGGTGGATCATTTGAGGTCAGCAGTTTAAGAACAGCCTGGCCAACACAGTGAAACCCCACCTCTACTAAAAATACGAAAATTAACCAGGCATGGTGGCGGTGCCTGTAGTCCCAGCTACTAGGGAGGCTGAGACAGGAGAATCACTTGAACCCGGGAGCGGAGGTTGCAGTGAGCAGAGATCACACCACTGCACTCCAGCCTGGGTGACAGAGCCAGACTCCGTCTCAGAAAAAGAAAAAAAAAAAAAGAATCTCTGAGTTTACAGATGAGGGCCCTAGCATTCAGAGAGGCTGAGGAACTCACTCAGCCTGTCAACGGCCGAGCCAGAGCCAAATCCAGGATCTACTAGCTTCAAAGCTGTGTTCTCACTCACTCCCTAAGGAGGCTGTGGGCAGAAGGAGCCCTGGGCTGGGAGGCAGCACAGGGCTTGGTATTTATACTAGATGTGTTCTGCCTCAGTTTCCCAGTCTGTAAAGTGGCCCTTTGTCTCAGGCAATTTGTGCTAAGACCCAACAGCCCTAAGTGTGTGGGATACTAGAGGGTCTCCCCTGATGTGGCCCCTGCCCCTGCCTTGCCTGGACAGTTTGCCTTCAGGGACGACATGCCACTGGTGCGGCTGGAGGTGGCAGATGAGTGGGTGCGGCCCGAGCAGGCGGTGGTGAGGTACCGCATGGAAACAGTGTTCGCCCGAAGCTCCTGGGACTGGATCGGCTTGTACCGGGTGAGAGGGGCAGTGGCGATCAGCGACTCAGGGAAGCAAGGGGCCTGGAGGAGCGGCTGAACAGCATGGTGGGGTCACTGGCTTGTCCAAATCTTGATGCCACACTGGGAGACTGCTGGGATCAGACATTCTAGGGTCACAACACTGATTCCACAACACTGATCCCCCAGGTGGGTTTCCGCCATTGCAAGGACTATGTGGCTTATGTCTGGGCCAAACATGAAGATGTGGACGGGAATATCTACCAGGTACTTAAAAGGAGCGAGAGTCAGGGGAAGTCCCTGTTGCCTTTGGGACCTCAAGACTCGCCTTGGGGTCTCTCAGGTGGCCTCCCTGACCCCCAACTTAGGCTTATACCCCTGGGCCCACCAGGTAACATTCAGTGAGGAATCACTGCCCAAGGGCCACGGAGACTTCATCCTGGGCTACTACAGCCACAACCACAGCATCCTCATCGGCGTCACTGAACCCTTCCAGGTAAGTAGGCCAGACTGCTGGGCTGGGGGTGCCTAAAGACTTTTGTCAAATGCCACAGCCCTTACCTTCTGCTCCTTGAGCTCAGACAAATAAACTGACCTCCCAAGATCTGCCAACGAGAGAGGTAGATCTCAGGAGGTCAGGCCTCAGTGGCTGGGTTGGGGAGCAGGGTGCCCCAGTGACCAGCATTTCCCCCAGATCTCGCTGCCTTCCTCGGAGTTGGCCAGCAGCAGCACAGACAGCTCAGGCACCAGCTCAGAGGGAGAGGATGACAGCACGCTGGAGCTCCTTGCACCCAAATCCCGCAGCCCCAGTCCTGGCAAGTCCAAGCGACACCGCAGCCGCAGCCCGGGACTGACCAGGTTCCCTGGTCTTGCCCTACGGCCCTCATCCCGTGAACGCCGTGGTGCCAGCCGTAGCCCCTCACCCCAGAGCCGCCGCCTGTCCCGGGTGGCTCCTGACAGGAGCAGTCATGGCAGCAGCCGGGGCAGTAGTGAAGAGGGGCCCTCTGGGTTGCCTGGCCCCTGGGCCTTCCCACCAGCTGTGCCTCGAAGCCTGGGCCTGCTGCCCGCTTTGCGCCTAGAGAATGTAGACCCTGGTGGTGGTGGCTCCTGGGGACCTGATCGGGAGGTCCTGGCCCCCAACAGCCTGTCTCCCAGTCCTCAGGGCCATGTGGGGCTGGAGGAAGGGGGCCTGGGGCCCTGAGGGTGGGGCAGGCAGATGGGCCAAGGTGACCACCGTTCTGCCTCAATCTTTTGCAAGCCCACTTGCCTCTCTCCTGCTGCTCCTCTAGCTGTATCTGCACCTGCCTCTCTGTCCTGGCCAGGGGTGGACAACTGGGGTCCCCCAAAACTCAGTCCTGGCACCTCAACTGTGACAATCAGCAAAGCCCCGCCCAGGCCCCCATCTGGGATAATGGGGGAGCTCTGGCAGATTTCCCAATCCTGGAGGTCATCTGTTAGGAATTAAATTCTCCAGCCTCACTGTCGGCTCTTTCCTACTTGTTAGTAGTCTTGGGATGGGGGTAGACAGAGGCAGGGACTAAAGAGGTGAGGGAATGACAGAACCGATATTTACCAGGCACCAGTTGTATATGTTACACATGCCATCTCCTTTAGTTTGCACTGCAACCCTGTGGGATCAGTGCTATTCTTAGACCCATTTCACAGGTAAGCAAACTGAGGCTTTTAAGAGGTTATATCAACCTCTCAAGATCAGACAACAAACCATAGTTCAGCCAGGTGTCGCAGGGAGGGAATACTTACTAAGTGCTAAGCACTGTATATGTATTGGTTCACTTAGTCCTCAACAACCCTATGAGGTAGATCCTGTTTAGACCCCCGCTTTTTTCAGGGGAGGAAACCAAGGCTTAGAGTGCAAGAGGGAGGTCCTTTGCTCAAGGGCATGGAGGAGATTTGAATTTAGGTTTAGGGCTGGGCCAGGAAGGGCGCAGCAGCTGTTAAAAGAAGGGGCCCCCCTGGGAGGAGGGAGCTGAAAGCCCTCTCCAACACCCACCCCGATTCTGGATTCAGACACAGACATTTCTGTGACATCCTAACTTCTCATCTGCCACCCCAGGCCACAGCACCCAGGCACTGGGGCTCCCCTAGGCAGGTTTTTGAGGCATGTATTATTTTTGCAACATGGACATACATATACCTCCTCCTGGTAGTGCCTGGGGCTGCTGCAATAAGTTACCCTTTCCCCGTTCCCATCTGTATGGGAACTTGACATTGCAGCAGTCACCAAAGCCTAGGACATCAGAATGAGCTTCCTGAACACCACCTCCAGGCATAGAAGAGTTGTGTCATAATGTGCTCCAGCATTTGGCCTTGAGATCCCCTCATTCAGCCTCTTGATTGTCCACAACAGCCTCTGCCATGCTTCAGTCTAACCTATGGAGGGAAGGCTGAGATTCCCAGCGCCTGGCAAAGCCACGGGCAAGGTCCAGGCTGGTACCCAGAAAAGCTGAAACTGAGGTCACTGGCTCCAGGATTTCTGCTGCCCGTTGGGTCTCCTGGCTGCCTGGGTTAGCTGCAGGCACTGGTTGTAGAATGACACGGGGCCTCTCGGGGGCTCTGAAGGCCATGCCTGCCTCTCGTCTGTGCCTTTATGCTGGAGCTGGCGTAGCCTCTGCTGAAGCCTCCGCAAGTGCCGGGCTGACACCTTGATGGCCCTAGGGTCTCTGGAACAGCTGTAAGGAGAGAAAAGTGGGGCAGATGATCAGGGCTGACAAGGATCCCACCCTACTCTGCAGACAGGGGGGCTGAGGCTCAGAGAGAGAGAGGGCTGGAGCCAGAGTCACCAGCAAGGCAGAGAGGGGTGGGTTTCACGGAGAAAGGGTATAATAAACCACGCTGGTACCTGGAGGCCTGGGATCTGCCACTAGCTGGCTGTGGAAACCCGAGCCAGAAGCCTCAGTTTCCTCATCTATGAAATAGGAAAGTTAAGAAGGAGCTGGCTTTGAGAATCAGAATCCAAATGAAAGCAGGGCACCGTGGCTCACGCCTGTAATCCTAGCACTTTAGGAGGCTGAGGTGGGAGGATCGCTTGAGTCCAGGAGTTCAAGACCAAATGAGATTGTGGATTAGGAGTGAGTTAAGTACACATTTTGCTGTGTGCCAGGCAGGGATTGACCTACGTGCATCCTGCCATTTCCTTGGTTCCTACGACCATTTTACAAAGACGTGGAAACTTGGAAAGGTGAACCAATTGCCAAGGTCACATGGGAATCAAATGACATAGCCAAGATGCGACTCACAGAGGCCAACTGCAGGGCTGGACCTGGGGCAGCAGGGGGTAGAGGGATGAGGCTATGGATGGGAGCTCAGAGGTCTCCCGATCCGTTCCCTTACCCCCTTGGCCCAAACACCCAAAGTGGGTACAGGCAACCTATCCCTTGAGAAAAGCCCCCATCCCTCCTGGCTCTGACATCACTTACTCTTTGCCTTCCACACAGTCCAGTGGAGGAGCCAGCTTGAAGCAGGTTGTGCCCAGCAGCTCCCAAAGCATGTTGGTAACCTCGGATGGGCTGTGGAGCCTCAGGAAGCGTGCCAGACTGAGAACAGAGGCAGGCTCAGGTTGGGGTAGGGCCTTGCCAGCCAGGGGCCCCTTCCCATGCCTGGCAGCAGGCAGCCCACCCCACAAGGGTTCAAAGGGGCCTCACCGGCGCGTGCAGTTGCAGTGGAAGAGGGGCTGTTGGGCACTGTTGAGCAGCTGGAACTTGATTTCCTGGGGTCCAATCTGGTGCTCACACTGGTCCAGGTGGCGGCGGAAGCTGCGGCAGACCTGGCGGGCACCTGAGGGGTGGGTGTGGTGTTGATGGGAGCCCAGCCCACCAGGGAGGCCCCACCAATGCCTGTGCCATCCAGGAGAAACGCCAGCACATGTGCTCAGTCACACACACAGCCTCCTTCCATTTCATGCCTTCTGAGAGTCTCTGTGCCCTCAGTGTGCTGCCCTTGTGGGAGTGCCTCCCTAACGCCAAGTCCCCCAAACAGTAGTACTGCCATGGGGGATGCCCAGAATACTGATGTTAGTCAAGAAAGGCTTCCAGGAGGCAGAGGCTGCTAAACTGAGGCTGGGAGAGAAGAGGAGGAGGAGAGAAGAGGAGGAGAGGAGGAACAGCATGTGCAAAGGCCTCTGCGGGTAGGAGAGAGCCTGGTGCTTTGAGGAACCAAGTGAAGTTCGTGAAACTAGAGTTTTTTTTTTGTTTTTTTTTGAGACGGAGTCTTGCTCTGTCGCCCAGGCTGAGGTGGGTGCAGGCAGATCTCAGCTCACTGCAAGCTCTGCCTCCCGGGTTTGTTTCATTCTTCCTGCCTCAGCCTCCCGAGCAGCTGGGACTACAGGGGCCCGCCACCTCGCCCGGCTAGTTTTTTGTATTTTTTAGTAGAGATGGGGTTTCACAGTGTTAGCCAGGATGGTCTCAATCTCCTGACCTCGTGATCCACCGTCTCGGCCTCCCAAAGTGTGAAACTAGAGTTTTGACTGGGGGTAGGGTCTGCGGGGCCAAGGCTTGAGGGCCTCCGGGTGTCGGGACATCATTGGCCGAGATGAGGAGTGGTGGTGGGTGCACAGTGGGGCGTGATGTGGTCACATTTGCGGATTATGAAAATCCAGTGCTGCAGTGTGATTTGATGGGAGAGGTTGGGAGATCCCAGGAGGAAACGGGGGCAGGAAAAGAAGCAACACATGGCCACCCCCAAACAGAGGCAGGGATACCCCCTCAAGTCAGGAACCCCCAAGGTTAGGTTCTGAGCTCACCCTGAGGTTTTAGGCCACCCTGTGGACCCTGGAGGCCTGTGGGGGCCACATCAAGCTTGGGAGAGACCATAGGGTCCTGGAGGACTGTGGTGTTGGCTTTGCTGGGGCGCTTGGACCCTTTCTGCTGTGGTGGCCACTTCTGAAGGTGCTGCTTCTGTCGAGGCTTGGGAGGGGCTGGGCTCTGGGAGCTGGGAGTTGGGGAGGTGGCCCAGGAGCTCCAGGAGGCATTGTAGAAGGTCCTGGGCTGAAGGCGAGCGAGGGGCACTGTGCCATACGTCCTACACCTGGGGGGTGGCAGTTGGTGGCAATTGGTGACTAGAAATCCCCCCTCCCAGAAGCCCCCAGGGTCGTCTCCACGGAGACCAATCCTCTGCCGGTCCCATCCCCCATCCCACTGGGTTGTGGGGGACACCCAAGGAGGGTCTGCATCCCGGGCCCTCAGGAGAGGACATACAGAATGAGACATCATTCCCTGGAAGACAGACAGACAGATAGGTCTCCCTCACCAGGCTTGGAGCCTGAGATCCCTCTCTGTCTGGAAAGGGACTTAAGGGGGTGGCCACATACCCGCCCCACCAGTACCACGCCACACACGCCTCCTGCTCCTCCAGCACAAAGCAGGGGATCTCCAGCACGTTGAAGAAGGCCACACCCACGATGTCAGAGATGGAGTCGCGCTGGTTCTGCAGGCATTGCTGGAACCTGCCCAGAGCAGATACTCAGGACCCTGGGGCATGGAGGGCTGTCTGACTCCTTCCCCAGCCCACCCTGCCACTACCAGCTGGGTGGTTTGTGGTCCAAGCGTCCCTTCTCTCTGGCCTCAGCTTTCCTACCTGCACTGTGGGGTCCAAGCTGGCTGACCTTTAAGATCCTCTGCAATCCCAATGTCTAGTTACCCAGGAACTGGGTAACTCTGCCCTGTCCCTGAGCTCTGGGCCCTCGCTGCCTGCCACCAACCTGGTGTCACAGTCACAGTGGGAGATGGTGTGGAATCGGTAGTTTCGGATGCCATAGTTGTACTGCAAGGGTGAGATGTTCTGTGGGCAGCGGTCATGTTCCCGGCAACAGAGATCAGGTCCCTGGAAGACCCCTGCAGGGAGGGGAGGGGGCACCAGCTCAGCAGGGTCCTAAGCATCACGCACCAGCTATACTCCCCTGGTAGCAAGAGGGTAGAGACCTGGTTCTCATCCCAGCCCTGACACAAATGCCATGGGGGTCCTCAGACCAGTCACTCTCCCTTCTGTGGGACTCTCAGAGTTTCAAAGTTGGAAAAGAGAACCCAAGCTGCAGCCCCTGTTGGGCAACTCTAAATGCCAGGCAGCCCACCCATAAATACATGGAAAGGTCTTTCTCGGGGGAACTGGAGTCTGCCTCCAGAGTTCCCAAGCCCGAGCCCCAAATAAAATCCAAAATTATGAATGTGTGTATGATGAAATGGCAAACAGGCAGGATGCAACCTTTCTCATTGGCACAAGGAGGTGTTGCCAGGATGCCAACCTGCTCTGACTCAGGTGCCACGTCCTCCCCCAACCCTGCACACAAACGCACAGACATCTGTACTGAGAGTATAAGACATTCGTCTATGTTTATTACCATCTAAGCAATAGCACTCTTTACTAAGCATTTTCCACATGCCTGGCACTTCCCATATCCAGGCTCACAGCCAGCCCTGAAAGGGAGGTATCACCTTTACAGGTGAGGAAACAGGCTCAGAGAGGGG